ATATCAAGGATTGTGCAAGATGATAATTGCCTCAAGTCCTTGCTAATAGCATCCTCCTCATTTGGATGCTTTTATTATACCTATGGAACATCAAGGGGTATGCCATTTAGATAATACTCTTTATTGCTCAAGAAACCATTCATTCTTTCGATAATTCTAAGTGCACGAATCCTTAGGCGAGAATATTTCAATATATTCTTGTAGCAGTAGGTGAAAGAAATCACGTATAATGATTATGATGAGGCCAGAGTTGATGTCCCCAACTGAACTGATAGAATAATACGAATGCCACTGGAACAAAGAACTTGACAAACCAATGGCTACCGCGCACCATCTGACTCTTCTTCCTTCTACTTAAAAACGGGATATCAAACAACCGCATCAAAGCTCGGAAATAGCAAGCAGTCTACACTGGTCGAGATAACTTTCCAGGTCTCAACGAGCACACACCACCATACAATTAGGTCAAGAAACAAGGTTTGTGTTCACTAACCTGAGCAATCATGTGCCTAAAATGATCTATCAGATGTTAAAAATACTTGATAACCCTGCGCGACTGTCCAAGCATGCAGACGTCAAACACAGACACGTAGGTAAAACAACTCGGTTCCTCAAGTTCACACGCGCAGCACGAGAGAGAGAGAGAGTGAGAGAGATTGAAAAGTCTCGCCATGCGATATCTTCAGAATGAAAGCGAAGGACGAGGACAATTAATACCAGCGGACGCGTTAAACGGTCCAGTATGATCTCGGTGCCTTCGGATGCCCAAAAGTCTTCCATGCTCTATGGGGGCGTCAAAGTCTTCGCCGACGTGTTCACGCGTCTCAGCTGCTGCTCCTCTCAACGCGGAGGCCAATGCAAGAAACCGTGTCCGGCAGAAGAATCTCCACCTTGTCTTTGTTACAACGAAGTCTACTGATGAAATCGTTTTCGTTGGACACTTCTGCATCACGAATTGTTTCTTGTGCGAGTTGGCAAGGAAGTTAACGCCCTCATGTCTTCATCCGATTGGTTCGGTGGAACGTTCAGCAGCCGATTGATGGCGGAGTGCGTTAAGGGCTTCTAATCTGAGAGCCTTTTTTGCATTGAAGAGGTGTGCTTACCGTGACGGTTAACGGATCTTCACCGCGTGTGGGTGGGAAACGGAGAGAGGAGATCAGAAAGAGAGGCCGTGACGGTTGACCGTTGGAAGAAGTGACATCACGTCAGGAGTTAATTACAAGCCTTCTTCTTCTTCGCACGGAGCAAACTCGTTTCCCTTAACTTCGGAGTTGTTTCCTGGTACCTTCCTCTGTTCCACTGTCTCTTTGATTCCACACGTCCCCGTTGCGGCTGTTCCCAATAAGTTGATGGCCACCCTCCCCCCCCACCCCCCGCCATCGACCTACGAATTCCTCGGTTGCTCCTCACGACTTCTTCCTCTAAACCTTAGCTCTTCCACGGCCGACTCTGTTCCTTCCCTCCATCGAGAAAGCACCAGCAATGGCAGCTAAGAGGCTTCGTGATGACCCTGACAAAGAGTCTGAACCATCGGAGGAGAAACAGATGCGACGCCTGCCTTCATTCTCGACGTTAGTAGTCTCAAGAGCCTTCCTCCGCTCACCATTCTTATCACTTTTGCTTAATGGTTCTTTGACATGAAAGAGCCTTCCTCTGATTTTAATTTGTGCGCAAGCTTTTGCCTATGATGATATCCTCCATCTTCCGCAAAGAAGTCCTCAAAAAGGCATCTTGTGGCATCGATTGATGGTTACCATCTTCTTCCTCTTAACATTGACAGGGTCATCAAAGAGGCGATGATGGCGAAATCCCTGAACAACTTCTTCTTCGCATTGGAGCCGCTGCTTCGCAGAGTGGTAAGTTGAAATCTCTCTAATTTCATGCAAGCGATTTTTAATTAATCCTCGATGAACAGTTGAAAGATTTCTCGCAGCAGTGCATCAATGATTGTTCATGACAAAGAAACAGAGGATTAAATGATTTGTTTTGGTCTTCTGATGCGAAATAGGTGAAAGAGGAGGTGGAGCGAGGAGTAATCCACAGCATGCGCTCGTTTCAGAGGTAAAAGAATCAACTGGCCTTTGACCCAAGATCTGATCTTTGTTCATGGCGAGACCGATCAAAGACAATAACATTGACTCCCTCCTCAGGTCCACCCCAATGCAAATCGAAGCAGCAGCAGAATCATCAAGCTTCAAGCTTACCTTCAACAAGCAGCTGTCACTTCCCATATTCACCGGCAGCAAAATAGATGACATCGAGAGTAAGCCGCTCCAGATCGTCGTCGTAGATGTGCACACCGGCGAGGTCCCTTTGTCCACTCTGTCATCCCCTCTCAAGGTAGAAGTAGTAGTCTTGGACGGAGATTTCCCTTCGGGGGATCAGGAGGACTGGACTGGCGCCGAGTTCCAGAACAACATCGTGAAGGAAAGGACGGGGAAGAGGCCACTGCTCACAGGAGACGTCAACGTCACATTGAGAGATGGCGCTGCTTCCATCTCCGACCTCTGCTTCACTGACAATTCTAGTTGGATAAGGAGTCGACACTTCAGGATCGGTGCCAGAGTCGTTCCCGGGAGCCACAACGCGCCAAGAATCAGAGAAGCCATCACCGAGCCCTTCATGGTCAAAGATCACAGAGGAGAACGTGAGTATGAAATCCTTGATCTTGCTGCTTTTGCACCATCAACTCAGCTCCCAATGGAGGCTAACTAAAGGAACCATCGCAACCCAGTATACAAGAAGCATTACCCACCAGCTCTCGGCGATGAGGTATGGCGACTGGAGAGGATTGGGAAGGACGGAGCGTTCCACAAAAAGCTGTCGGCTGTTAACATCAACACGGTCCAAGACTTCCTGAAGCTGCTGGCCGTCGACCCTCATCGCCTTCGCAGCGTACGAACTCGGCCTCATTCCTCATCGCGCCAAGTGCTTTTCAGTCTTACTGACGCTTCTGCTCTCATGGATCAGATACTGGGCGTGGGGATGTCGGACCGGATGTGGGAGGGAACGGTCGCTCACGCCAAGACATGCGAGGTGGGCGACAAGCGTTACGTCCACCGAGCCCCGCAGTGTAGCCTTGTCTTCAACGCCGTGTGCGAAGTCGTGGAGATCATCTCCGACGACATGACACTAACATTGCAGAGCCTAAGCAAACCTCAGAGAGTAAGTACTGCACTCCAGCGATAGCTCTTTGCCTATACTCTCTGCAGTTCATCATCTTTGACAGTCTGCCTCAACTATCTTGCAGGCCTATGTGAACCTTCTGGTTCGCGAAGCACATCAGAACTGGGATAGTTTGGAAGATGCTGATGCATTCTTCGACCAGAGCATTGTTGCAGCGAGTGAGTACATCAAATTGCTAGTTTTCAGCATAGGTTGAATTACTTGTGGGGGTTTCTGAATCAATTTAGCTTATCGACAGATGTGCAGATGCAGCAAAGTGAGATAGAGCCATTTCCCTGGCATGAAGTTGAAGAGAATGCAATAGAGTATCAGCTGGAAGACTATGAAATCCCTGATCCTGCTCAGCCTTCCTTTTGAGTAACACAATAGGGTGTGAGCTGTGATATGTTGTTTTATTAGGCACAAATCATCTGCCCTGATTGCTTGTTTTGTGAACATAGGAAAATAAGCAAGCAGACACGAGGCTATTCTTTTGTTCATCATCTTACTTTCTGTGTTACTTTGTCTTGGAAGATTAGTTTGGGAGAGGAAGATGGAGTAGAATGATGTCCTTTGCAAGCATTTGGACACCCACTCCATCCCATATGTCGAGTCCAATTGTAATTTGTTTCTGTGTTTTCCATCATCCTGTTGAAGGAATATTAGAAAGCTCTTGACATGCTTCCTGGTGTTGCCAAACATATACAGAAATTGCCAAAACAGAGTCACATCAACCACCATTTTCTTGATCAATCAATCAATCAAAGCTTTCTTGATTGTACCAAAAGAAGGCTGTCAGGAGTTTTGTGGAAGACAAAATGCCATGGAAAGAGTTCAAACTCTGTAAATGGTGAAGGTTTTACAAGTTGCATGCTGACCGCACAGGAGTCTCTTTCAAATAATGTAGTTTGAAACATCATAATTATGATTCTAATGACCAATGAAACTACTAGATGATCAAATTTGAGATATACATACAGTAGTACTCTGGGGACCTTACAAATTTATTTGAATTATTGTTGTGCACATCACCTCATTTGGTTTTAGGAAAAAATGGAAATGATTCATGAACAACATTATTTGAAAGAATTAGGTAATCAATACAAATGGAGCCGGTCATAATGAAGAAATAACAAGCAACCAAGCAGGAACATAAACATAAGAGTTATGAAGATCAATATATCTGGTCGCTTGAGGTGACCATGTGAAGATTGTCACTTGGAATTCTCATAACAAAATGATTTAATCAATACAAATGTTCCTTTTCTATGAAGTAGACAAAAAGTACAACAATTATGCTAACGTGGCAAAAGAATACAACCAAAATCAATTGTTATCTTAAGCATTTCTGCTTATTAGTTTTCTTGACTTTTCACTCCTATTGTAGAGCCACCGATCCAGGTCAAGGTGAAAGGGAATTATTAGTCAGTGTCCTGCGGCAAGTGTTCTCTTTGTCAACTAGATCTCTGGTGCTTCAAACTAGTCTCTTCATTTTCTGACTTCCAGCATCTGGGATTATTTCTGGATGGCTTTCTTCAGAAGGAACAAATTGATGCAAAAATCTTTGAATCATCTCATAACTGGTGAATGTGATAACAGCTGCTGGGGTGGTTCGTAACAAATTTGTGCCACAGCCACGGTAAAATCCAGATATGCCATCCTTCCGGAAGACCTTCTTAACACAGTCCACGACACCAGCATATTGAGTTAGAGAGTTGCGAGCATGTCCTTGTTCTTGCAGTTTGGACCGCACAACCTGAAGAAAGAATATGCCACATGATTCAGAAAAAAAGGAAAGAGAAAGAAGGCATCTTGGTCATGGTAGCTTTAAAACAGAACATCATGTCAAGAAGAATGAAAATCCAGTTCATTATATGAGGGCAACTTTGACAATGTCAAGGCATCACAGTGTTTCTTGTGTATGTCACGGTGGGGAAGTAGACAGACTGGAATAGTCCAATCTTCTTATAAAATCAATGAAAATCCAGCTCAAAAAGTGGCAGTGCTTCATGTACAGTTCTCTTAAGATCTTTTTTCACTTTTTCCCTCTAGTTTTTTGGAATTAAATAGATTTTCTAGATCTGAATTCTGCATCTGCCAAAATAAAGTGAAAATGTCAAAGAAATAATGATGGAAGGAGGAGCACCTCATGAGGGTAGGTCATTGTGGAGGCAAGCACTTTTGAGAGCGAAGAAGCAATAGCCACACTACCAGCACTGAGCTTATCCACCGTGGTGTTATCTGAAAACAATTAAGATTAGAGCACCATGTAATGAAGAAGAATAACTATCAGGTAGATATTATTACCTTTGTTTGCTAAGTGCAATTTGATATTTTCATATACTGGAAACTGGATTGCAACATGGCTAATACCAGCTAGAGCTGGAAGAAGACCACTGTTAACCACATGAAATCAGTCACCAAGAACATGACAATTAAGATCCCAACAGAAAAGAAAAATCATGAATTAGTTGTACATGGAGAGAATTGACTCACCTATAAAACCCTCGGATGCCTTCTTCGTATGAAATCCTTCTCAATGCAGACATTACACTCTTGTAAGGAACTACTCCAGGTCTGATCCTCTGAGTCTAGCACCAGACAAAAGAAACATCAAGCATTGCGGAGCTGCTAGTTGAACCGAAAATATTAGAAGTCTAGAAGAGCTAAACTCGGAAAACACTACCACAGTCAATTAATCTAGATGGCTTAAACCCCCTATGCAAGTGTTTGGCATCATTAAGTACAAAGCTTCACAAGAGAAAGATCATCAAAATAATGGTAAGACAAGTTTGTGTATGAAACATACTCACAAATAAAGTTCTATCTGATACTTTTCTTCTCATTAAATTTAACAAATTAAAGCTTCTTGGACTAAAATTGGCATGAAGTTGGCTAAGATGAGAAGGGGATAAGAGAATGTACTTGAAGTCTGGTCTTAACAACCCACAGAGGATTGGTCACAACTGCCGTTGCAGCCCCTGCACCTGAGGCAGCAAGAACATTTGCTCCAACCGAAAGTTGATTGTCTACCTTAGTTGCATCTGAAATTCTAGTCCATGTTAGTCTTGCATGGCATGGAAAGTTTTGACGATGAAAATGACTATAGCAGAAAAACCATACTGTATCTCTAAGAACCCAGAATTACAACCAAAGGAAATGGTGGAAAGAAAATCTTAAACGAACCATGTGAATGAAGTAGCCCTTTAAGCTTATCATAAACTGTAAAGTACACCTGGAAAAGAAGTTAAAGTGATATCAGAACAAAATAACTGAAACAACATTATCTAAATAAATCACTTCATCTATGATGAAGATAACAATAAAGCCTAGCTGAAGCCACACAAATCAAAGCTATTATCCGTGGATTTTATTTTTCAGAAGTTTGAGATGTATAAACAAAACGAAGAGGAACTGGAAGCAAGATTAAACACTTACTGCCCAATTTGGAAGTAGCGCTAAAATTGTCGGAGAAAGGCCATGATACATTCCTTTAAATCCTTCTTTCCTAATTATTTGTTCTAAGCTTGAAATGATAAGACTTCCTAATTATAAAAAAAAATCAAACACTTCAAAATCTTAACCAGTAATGAACTTGATGGATGCAAGGATGATATAATTCAAATAGTAGTAAATGATAATCTATTGCAAGCCTCAACCAGAACAATGAAACACATACTGGTGGAGAACATATTAAAACTAGTGAAAAGATCATCTACTATCAAAATTCAACTGGAAAATAGCATGATCATGAAGAAAACCATTATGAAAACAAGAATAGAAAGCATATTTTGATAAGCTCCCTAGACAGGTCACTAACATACAGCTGTGGTATGACAACCTACACTGGTCTTATACAAAGTCCACAAGCAACTTAATCAGCAAAACTGCATCTGATCTATATGTTATGATATTTATTAATCGTGCTAATATTTTATGTTAGAGGGTAATGATCCTACTATACTGTACATAACCATCATTGTCTTGGACCACAAAGCTTACATAATAGGAAACTGACATCGATTGCCATGATTTACTATACATCAATTTGAAGTCGTCAAACCTAATTCATGCTTTGATCACCATGTGAAAAGTTAGCAACAAAGCCTACTGCAAAGCTGTGTTAGTTAATGTTCACCCAACATTTTGCCAGGCTACAATTAGTTGCAATAATCCCTCGTCCATATTACCAATCTAGGAAATTGCTTCGACCATAACTAGCTAAAATTATCTTAGCAAGATTCTAACTTTAGATCGAAAACCACTTAATTCACAAGAGAATGGTAGTGACAGTGAGTAAAAAAGAAAAAAAATCAGAAGAGCATACCCCGCCGCGAAGATTGTGGAAGATTGGGCAATCCATGCACTTGAAGCCTCGTCTTTACCACGTCCAGCGGGCACACAAACGTCGCTGCAATGATCCCTGCAACCATTCTTCGTCTTTATTAGAACAGACAAATTAAGAAGCCGATTCTCAAATCCTGACAGACAAAAAAGGAAAAACCTCAAACCCCTAATTCAAAAGGAAATTTTCGATTTTTTTTTATTATCATACTCAAATGAACTCCAATTTGTAAATCCAAAAGAATAAATTTTACCACTCTAATAAACTCCAAGTAGAGAATGAGGGGGGAGAGGGAAGATCTCATGGGAAAGAAGGGAAGAAAGGGAAAAACTGACCGGCGGACGCCCCAGCGCATGCATTGCAGAGGAGATCGCGAAGGGACGGCCCGTGGAGATCACCCGGCATGACGCTGAGATCTTCAGCTAAACAACCGGCAGCAGATTCGATCTTTCGGGTTCCAAACCACAGAGCTCTTAATCGAGAAGTGCTATATGGTGGGCACGGATCAAATTAAGAGGAGAAGGGCGCCATGGTAGCCTTCGAGGAAGAGGAGGCGAAACGGAGGGGTTCGTTCGAGCAAAAATTTCCGGAAGACGGAGGAGGCAAAGCGAGACGAAGGAAAGAAGAAAGACTGAATCGACCGCTGCCGCTGACAACAGTTTGTTTCTTGTTCTTCGAATTGCTAATCACCGGCTACCGGGTGGTATATTTATACCTCGATATTTCTATTTTCATTCAGCGATATATTTCTAAAAACATTTTTGACCCTCAAAAAACATTTTTTTTCTATTTTCTTCCACTCTTTCTTCTATAATTATGGTTGCGTTCACATATTATAAATATTATTATATTCTTTTTCGGTGACTTGACCTCACCATCATTTCCTGCAGAAGGGATCATTTGCGTGTTGGAACGGCCACAATTCAGCATCAATTGGATTGGTCCGTGGAGCACGTTGAAGACCCAAATGTTGGATCGTTCGCTGGTGATTCGCTTGGAAGAACGTTGATTCGTAATTGACCAACTAGTAAAGGATTGGTCATCAAGATGTTTATACGAATGTTGAAGTCCAGATGGATTCTCCAGATTTTTCTGGACCTAAATATACGGAACTCATACTTGCGTGTACGTCCACATCATGTGTGTATGTGGAAGATCACATTGTCCACGACAAACTCTTGAGGAGATCCAATTATTTATAATTAGCATTCATTAGTGAAGGCATCTAATAGCAGAAATAAAATACACATCAAAGCATACGTAGAACACGTTAAGATTTGTAATTCCAAAAGCACTTTTGTACATTCTCACCACGCACAAACCAATATTTACGTGCAAATTACACCACAAAAGTCACTCGAAGTTGCACCCAAATCAGAGAGGCCAAAAGCTGCAGCAAACGACGTCCTTCTCTTTGCCCCTCTTCTTGCTCGCTGCTCCGCCTGTGATCTCAACGGACCTTGCCTCGGGCTTCTTCATCTGCCGCTTGGGCACTATCAAGGTGAGCACCCCGTTCTCAATGGAGGCCTTCATCTCATCGGCCTTCGCATCCTCCGGCAGCCGAAACCGCCTGTAGAACCTGCCGCGGCTCCTCTCCGAGCAGTGCCACTCGCACTTCTCCTTGTCATCGATCGGATCCCCGCTTCGCTCGCCGCTTATGGAGAGGACTCTGCCGTCCTCCACCTCCACCTTCACGTCCCCCTTTCTGACCCCCGGGAGGTCGGCCTTGAAGACATGCGCCTCCGGGGTCTCCTTCCAGTCCATGCGGGTGTCGTCTGCGCCGGAGTCATCCGAGGGAAAGCCACGGAGTGCATCGAAGATGTTGCTGTGACGACCCAACAACATGTTGTGGACGAGAGACATATTAGATGCTGCTGCTGCTTCTGCTTCTTGAAGCTGAGACATGTAGCAAACTCTGGTGTCCAAAGTGACGGTGGCAGTGTATTTATAACTGGTTGCTTCCAGCGTGGTATATCTATTCCACTAATAAACGAGCCATTGGTGCTCCGGGCGTTTCCAGAAGCCTCTACGTAGTTTTGGTGGGACCAGATAGACCAAGTAAGATAATTCTTTGGATGAAATCTTGATCGTCGAAATAATTATTTATTAATATTATTGTGATTTGATTGAAATCAATCAATTCCAAACCAATTATTTTAATTTTAAATCAATTAAATATAATAAAAAAACAACACCTCAAACATTATACCTTAGGAGGTTAAATCTTTGTCTAAAATCAATTAACTTGGATTTGAATCTTCAAATAACCATTTAATTTGATTAAATTTTTTTATAATTTTATTTTTATATCATTTTTAAGTCATTACACTCGTCATAATTATATGCCTATTCTTTAAAATTATAATTTTTTTATATTTAAAATTAATTTTAATTAAAAAAAACAATTCTAATCAAAATCGAAACCGTTCGAACCGATCCTAATGGTTGATGATGACACATCAGACGGCTTAAAACAAAATAAACAATAGAACAGAAGTGAAATATACTGGAAGACGATGGAAGACCTGAGCACCTTCGAGAGCCCCGCTGACGACATGGCCTCGACAAAAGCAGCATCGAGCACAGTCTGGAGCCTTCAGGACCCATCCGTCCGAGCCTATAAATGCTCATCGTACTTACTCAACTCACCAAGAACAAGGAAAAGAAATCCACAGCTTAGCAACGCATCCTACGCTACCACCAGAAATCCTTCAAAGGCATTTGCAACCATGTCGATCGTGAGGCGCAGCAACGTCTTTGATCCCTTCTCTCTCGACGTTTTCGACCCCTTCCAGGGCTTCCCCTTCGACGCCTTTCGCTCCCTGAGCGAGACGCGCCCCGGCTTCGCGAGCGAAACCTCCGCCTTCGCCAACACCCGCATCGACTGGAAGGAGACGCCCGATGCCCACGTCTTCAAGGCCGACCTCCCCGGGGTGAACAAGGAGGAGGTGAAAGTGGAGGTGGAGGAAGGCAGGGTCCTTCAGATCAGCGGCGAGCGGAACAAGGAGCAGGAGGAGAAGAACGACAAGTGGCACCGCGTGGAGAGGAGCAGCGGCAAGTTCCTCAGGAGGTTCCGGCTGCCGGAGAACGCCAAGGTTGACCAGGTCAAGGCCTCCATGGAGAACGGCGTCCTCACTGTGACTGTCCCCAAGGAGGACGTTAAGAAGCCCGACGTGAAGTCCATCGAGATCTGCGGCTGAGCTCTGATGCATGTCGGAGAAATCGATAGCTGAGCTTGCGACCTATCCAAATAAGTCTCTGTGGCAGTCGAGTGAGTGTGTCCGTCCTATGTCTAAGTGTGCTATTTGGTTTGTGTCTTTCCGTGTCTAAGGAGTCGGTCGACTTCGGGAACTCTGCGTTGCTCTCGCGGTAATAACGTTTGTCATGGAAGTATTCCTTAATTAAATATAAGTCGGTCTACTTCATCCGTTTCATATGTTTCTTCTTCGGGAACTCTGCCTTGCTCTCGCAGTGATAACGTTTGTAATGGAAGTATTCCTTAAATATAAGTCGTTTCGTATGTTTCGACACGAAGAGCAAGTAGTCACCAAAATGAACAGATAAGAATACCAACTGGCAGACAAAAACCACATGATATCATCATTCTGCCTACTTTAAGTCCCTACGTCAACCCGCCACGTGCACAATCCACGAGAAACGTGACCCTGCAAGCTTATCTTCTTCCATTGTGGGTAAGAGGTGACGCACCGCCCGTTTTCCTCTGTCCCGAACCCTTTTATCATATATTCAAAGGGCCGTTGCGAAGTCCGGGACCCTCTCTTTCCGCGGCGATCGGGTTCCGATCATCGGTGAATTTTTCCCGATCTACTGTTGCCTTCGTGACGCGCTACTCGTGTGGGTCGTCTCCTCCACAGGATGGGCGATCCATCCAGTGGCTTCCCCGTTTGATCTGATGCTGACACGTTTCTTTTCATCCACGTGGTGTTTACTCGTCCGTCGTCATCCTCCCGTGCTGTCCCATTACGCGCATTCCCCAACTGCTCACATGTCTCAGAGGATCATCATATAAAAAGAATACCGCGTCCTGCCCCTAATCTCGCTTATCATACCCATGTTACCCTGGGCCCTTTGCTACCTTCTTATTGATTGGAACACATGGTAAGGGCCACAATACTCCCTCCAATTATAGATGGGTGGCTCGAGGGGAAACGCTGGAGTGGCAGTCAAAGAAATACTTGCTTTAATTCCTTCCTTTTAATTCTCTTTCCCTTCGCCAGTTCTTTCGTTCTTCTTTCCGTCTCCTCTGCGTCACTCGAATTCCTTTCCATCAAGGCACTCTCTTCACCTATTTACGATCTCGTTTCTCTCTTGCATCTTTTACTTTGGATACGATTGTGCTTTCCTTTGGATTCTTTAGGGTTGATTGCATCCAGAGTCCCCCCCGTTTTTCATCCCTCTGGATTGGGAATTTAGGATTCTTGGGCCGGGACGTAGGGCTCCTTCTTGTAGTTATTGGAGTTTGGTGGAAATGTTGGGGAGTCGCGTGCAGTTGGGACGCGGGCATGGGGAGGATCGCGTTTGCTACGCCGATAAGGCCCGGTGGAGCCGCCACAGCCACCAACGGCACTACCAGCAGAGTCCATGGAGGTCTTCAAGCACCTCCGCCGCCGGAACTTACCCCGCCCCTTCCTTTGCTTCTGGGAGCTCCGCAGAGGCTGTTGTGTCGGTCTCCGGCACCCGTGAGCAAGAGAACCGAGCAGGAACAGAGAAAGATACTCCGAAGACCGGGATCGCGTCCGTTTCATCTTGGGGTCCTTCTGTTGCTCATTCTTGTAACTTGAAACGATTCTTGGAGTCCATAACTCCGTCCGTCCCGGCGTTGTACCCTTCCAAGGTTTAGAAATTTTCCTCCTTTCGGTTGTTGTCGCTTTGGGATTCTTGGAGATTGACTGACTTTGATTGGCTTGCAGATGGAGAAGAGGGGATGGAGGGCTTCTGACCAGGAGTGCCGGCCGTACTTTGCGCTGGCGGATCTCTGGGTCTCGTTCACGGAGTGGAGCGCGTATGGTGCTGGCGTTCCGCTGGTTCTGAGCGGAGCGGGCAGCGTGATCCAGTACTACGTGCCTTACTTGTCTGGAATCCAGTTATATGGTGAATCGAACAGGCCCTTTTCTGATTCTAGGTATTAGTGTTTGCCGGATGCTTTCTTTCTAATATATCTCGGTCCACAGAATTTGACATGAACGACTAATTTGTTTCTTTGTATATTTTCTTACTACAGCTTTTGTTTGCCACCCTAAAGTTCTGAATGTTCCTTGATGCATTGCTTCCTTGATACGTCTACGATGGCTATCGTGTCGTAATGTTCTTAGCTTATAAAAACTCCTTTTACTTTTCTCGGTGGTATATTTTGCCTTGTTTGTATCATCTGTCATAAAAGCGTAGGATTTGTTGAACATAAATGGTTTCAATAAGAACCAATTGTCAGTTTATCTTTGCTTACCTCTATCTCAATGGTTCCGAATAATAATTTCTTTGGATCGGTTTAGCATCAAACCTGATGAGGGCAATTATGGCGATTGGACTCGGGTGACATCAACACCCCCGGATGACGCCCCCCCGCCTCAGTCGACTTGACAGCACCTGGCTAAAACAGACCGGAACGCCAGCAGAGGCACATTAACTTCTTGCACAAGCTCGATACCTCACGCCACGCCTACACCGGTGTCAGACGCTACCAGGAGTACGATCCTGCTCCCCTCGAGCAGGCACCTCAGACAGGTAACATTCGTTATAAGAACCCTCTCGTCGAGGAGAAAAGGGAGAGGAAAATTCCTCCACTACCATTGACTGACATGATCGTCGGAGGGGTCGGGCCGAGACCCCTGACCCGACCTGTCTGCAGGTGCGAAGACGGAGCAACCCCGCTAGACGGCCATCCCGGGAAAGACAATCGTCCCGTCGCCGACCGCGCGTAACAGATCCATCCAACTCGACGGACTCCCAGGCCTCGCCGGAAGATCCCCTCGCATTCCGACCCGAACCAAGCCGTGCCGACCCTGAGGCCCGGCTTAAAGTTGTTGACACCAACATTTTGGCGCTAGAAGGAGGGTCGAATGTCGAGTGAGCGGCAGGTCGACTTGGATGAATCGACGGCTGAAGGGTCGTACCCGAGAGAGGCTCCAGGGGAACACCCCTCGTAGGGTGAACCTAGAGATGAACACCCCGCCGCAACCTCCGAACGTTACTGGCGGTTATTCAACGACCCGGGCTTATCACCACCCGAGGGTCCCCTGGCCGACCCGTCGCCCGTATCGTCGGAGGCTTTTCAGGATCTCGCTCTTCAAGTTCGAGCGCAGACGGGTATGGTGCAAACCCTCATCTTACTCGTCGCTCGTCCGGAGCGCACGCTTGCGATCCAACCACTGCGGCAACAGGACCCGCTAGCCCAGGCTCACGCGCCGCCTCCCGAGGTACCAACCTCCCCTCGGGTCGGGCCGACCCCGCCCGGGGATTGAATGACAACACTCCCGAGGGGCCGCCCGGAACCCGAGGTATTATCCTCGGACTCGACAGACTCCCTGCGAGCCCAAGTGTGTTTCGTCAGTCGGCGGCTCGACGAAGTTCAGCAGGAGGTTCGCAGGTCAAAAGGGGAGCTCGGCGAGGAGGCGCACCGGGGGTCCCCGTTTGTACCCGAGATACAGGATCAAACGATCCCCCCGAACTTCCGGCTCCCCTCTCTTGATGCGTACGACGGCTCCACCGACCCGGCGGACAACGTAGCGACTTTCCGCGCCCAAATGGCACTATATGGGACCTCTGATGCCTTGATGTGCAGGGCGTTTCCCACAACTTTGCGAGGGTCCGCTCGCGTGTGGTACAGCGGCCTTAAGACTGGGACGATCACCTCCTTTGATCAACTCGTCAGAGATTTTGAGTCCAACTTCCTAGCTTACGCCTGGCCGAAGCCCTCCGTCGCTCTGCTCCTCGGGCTCAACCAGAGGGAGGACGAGCCCCTCTCGCACTTTGTGAATCGTTTTGCTACGCAAATCTGGGGGTTGCCGGACGCTCACCCCTCTCTATTGATACAGGTGTTTATGGTAGGCTTGCGACCCTCCAGGTTTTTCTGGTCACTAGTAGAACGACCCCCCGCTGCGGTCCCGGAGATGCTCCAGCGGGCGAGCCAGTTCATGGCGGCAAAGACCTGGATGGTCGGGAAGCGGGACTAGCACAAGAGGGTCAGATCAGAGCCGTCCCGCGGACAACAGTCCGCCGCACCAAGGCGCAGATTGGACCGTCCTGACCTATCGTCATTGATGTCTCAATTCCCTCTTTGGGTGCGTCCCGGACGGATATATTTCTTCAGATTAGAGACAAAGGGTTACTCAGGACTCCCAACCCGATGAAAAATCCGTGGGAACTAGCGGATCGGTCGAAGTATTGTCGTTTTCATCGGCAAACCAGGCACGACACTGAGGAGTGTCGGGAGTTGAAGCGGCAGATCGAGGAGCTCATCCGCAAAGGGCATCTCGGTCGACACCCCCAGCAAGACAAGGAGCTCTCCCCCCGCCCTGAAGGACCCGTCGAGCGTCAGATCGATGTGATCATTGGGAACCCTACCAAGATCAAAGACGGTGATGCCCACCTTCCTGGTAGTCGACCTCCCCACTGCATATAACGCCATCCTTGGTCGACCAACCCTCAACAAGGTCAGGGCCGTCATCTTCACTTATCACCAAACGGTCAAATTCCCGATCCGCGCCGGAGCTGGGGAAGTCAGGGGAAGCCCCCGGGAGTTCAGGCAGTGCTACCTGACGGCGGTCTCGCTTCACAAACGAGCGCGGACCGAGCAACCCCCGGGGGACCCTAGGGAAATGAAGAAGCCAGCCCCACACCCTGAACCAACGACGCCTACTTGTGACGTGCCACAGATGAAGGGCCGGCCGGATCGGACGATCCGGATTGGGTCGGAACTCCCCGAACAGGAACGGGAACAGCTCGTCGGCTTCCTACAGGGAAACGCCGACGTCTACGCCTGGTCGCCCTCCGACATGACGGGCGTCGACCCGAAGACCGCTCAACACTACCTGAACATAGCGCCCGATAGACAACTGGCTATCCGAGAAGAGGTGGAGTGACTTTTGGCAGCAGAGTTCGTGGAAGAAGTCAAGTACCCTCAATGGCTGTCCAATGTAGTCCTCGTAAAGAAATCTAATGGGAGCTGGAGGATGTGTGTTGACTACACCAGTCTTAATCGCGCGTACCCGAAGGACTGTTACCCCCTCACAAGGATCGACCAATTAGTCGACGCGACCGTCGGGCATGCGCGCCTTTCGTTCATGGACGCCTTCTCTGACTACAACCAAATCAGAATGGCACCCGACGACCAGGAGCACACGGCCTTCCTCACTGATCGGGGAGCGTATTTCTACAAGGTCATGTCATTTGGGCCAAAGAACGCAGGAGCTACATATCAGAGGGTCGTAAACAAGATGTTCGCCCGGCAGATCAGGCGAAACGTTGAAGTCTACGTCGACGATATGATCGTGAAGAGCCGCGCGACGGTAAACTACCTGACGGATTTGGCTGAAACATTCACTGCCTTACGGAGACACGGCCTGCGGCTCAACCCTGTGAAGTGTGCCTTTGGCGTCGGCTCAGGAAAATTCCTCGGATTCCTCATCCACGAGAGGGGAATCGACGCTAACCCGGAAAAGGTTCAGGCGATCATCAGCATACAAACCCCCCGGACAATAAAGGATATACAACGGCTCAACGGGAGGCTTGCTGCCCTATCTCGGTTCCTGTCTCGGTCTGGTGATCGTTGCCTACCCTTCTTCCGGGCCTTGAAAAACCCGAGGAGCTTTCAATGGACGGAGGAATGCGAGAAGGCCTTCATACATGTAAAGCAGCACCCCGCCAGCCTCCCTCGCCTCCCCTCAGTTTCTCCCGGGGAGAAGCTTAGTGTCTATCTGGCCGCCTCCCGGAACGCAGTTAGCTCCGTCCTGATTAAAGACGCCACCGGTGGGCAACTACCGGTCTACTACGTCAGCCATGTCCTGAACGGACTGTTAGAACCCTTGCAGATTCTAAACTTGGGATTGATCTCTTTAGGGGATCGGCCTTCTTGGAACTCTATAGGAGTTCCTCCCTCCAAGTTGCTGCTCAAAGGCTGCAGAAAAGATTCATCTATTGCTTATGAAAAAAGGAGGAATACATGGCTATTTATAGGGTTTCTAAACCCTAACTCCTAATAGGACTCCTACTAAAGACTCTTATTCTTTTACAACTCCTAATTCTTCTCTAAGAAACAACCTCCTAACTTTAGCCGGCCTCTTCACCTCTTTAATAGGGGTCGGCTTAGGTAGGTTTTACATGAATGTCCCTCTCAATTAGGACTCTCCTAGCTAGAGTCCTAACAAACCCACCCTCTTCAAATCAGCCTTGTCCTCGAGGCTGACGATTCATGAATTCTGGAAATTTGATCTTCAAGTCGTCATAGTTCTCCTAAGTGGCATCTTCTGTTGGTAGGTTCGCCCACTGTATTTGCACTTCAGTAGTGGGTCGTCGTCATTGAGTCACAATCCGTCGATCAATAATGGCACTTGGCTGGGTTTGGAGTTCTCCTTGAGTAGTCATATTTGGTGGGTGGCTTTGGGCTGTCTCCAATCACCTATTTACAACTTCCGTCTGACCATCGGTTTGTGGGTGATATGTCGTACTCCTTTGCAATTTAGTACCCTTCATATGGAATAACTTTGTCCAAAATCCGCTCATGAAGATGCAAGTAGAATTTGTCACAAGCACAATGCGTCCTTTATAGCGTAATTCTTTTGAGTCTCAATTGTAATGAGCCATGAAACTTGGTGCTTCCTCCAATTTTTTCTTTATCTTATTGGTCTTCGAATCTTCCTACCATTCCATCTTAATATCTTCAAGGAAGTCGTTGGTCAAAAGTGAAACGGCCGAAATTTCAGCTTGCTCGGATAGCTACGAAGGCGTATCTGCAATAATATTCTCTTTCCCCTTTTTGTAAGTTATTTCATAATCAAATTCAAGAAGTTTTATTACCCATTTTTCCTGCTTAGGGGATGATATCTTTTGCTCCAAAAAGTACTTGAGGCTTTTATGATCGGTTTTAATTTGAAATCGTCGACCGATCAAGTAGGGTCTCCACCTCGTTGCTGCGTGCACAATGGCGAGCATCTCCTTATCATATGTTGATATATTTTGATGGGAGGGAGACAATGCCTTGCTAGTGTATGTGAGTGGTCGACTATCTTG